TTGGAATAGTAAATTACCCTTGAAAATTAATGTTCTTCCTTGTGAAAATTAATGGTTGGCATGTCATACACATTCAATGAGTATTGGTTAACCTATGAATAGGAAGAATAACTCACCCTATTTTTCTCTGTGATGTTGTACTGTTGAACAAAACAAATTGCCATCGATCAAGTCCATTCTCATTCATGGAGACCCTAAAGTACAGGGTAGAACTGCCCTGTGCGTTTCCTAGACTGTACCTCTTTACCGAAGTAGAAAGCCCCATCCTTCTCCCCTGGATTGACTGGTGCTTTCAACCTGAGCATCTTGCGGATCACAACCCAACATGTAACCATGATGCCACCGGGACTGCTAGCAAGTTAATTCTGACTGCAGTAGGCAGCCTCATGTTTCTCTCGCAGAGCTGGCTGCTGGTTTCAAACCGTTGACCTTGCAGTTAGAAGCCCAAAGTATAACCACAATGTCACCAGGTCTCCTCATTGCCTTTAGGTGCTGTCAAGTTGGCTCTGACTCATAGCAACCCTATGTATAACAGAATGAAACAGAGCCTAGTACTGTCTCGGGAAGTTGTACGAGCTAGATTCTATCTCTAGACTCTCTTTTTGAATTTTCTTTTTGAATATGTACTCAATCTTTTAGCTATTAATTATTAGTTTTCTTTCTGTGCACACCTTACTTAGGGAAACCTCAGCTATTGTCTTTATGTGAGTAACTCCATTCTTTTTCTCCAGGCTCTTTTCTCCCTCTTGAGTTTCAATTCTGCATTTCAAATTGTCTTCCAGACATTTCTATTTGGATAGCCTGCTCTCTCTCTCTCTAACTCTCTCCCTGTCTCAAACATAACTGGTTAAACTTTAAATTTATGACATTCTCCAAATAGCATCCCCCCCTCCTTTAAAAAAATTTCAGTTACAGTATTGCTTTTTGTCATAACCACAATTTATATTTAAGGAGTCCTGGTGGCATAATGGTTATACGTTGGGCTGCTAAGCACAAGGTTAGCAGTTCAAAACCACCAGCTGCCCCAGGGAGGAGCTGAGCCTTTGTAGCCCCGTAAAGACGAGTACAGTCTCAGACACCTTCGAGGCAGTTCTACTCTGACGGATAGGCTGTCTATGAGGCAGTATTGACTCAATGGCAGTGAATGTTTTTTTATGTATATCCCCTTCCAATCACTAGGCATACTAAATGTCCATTTCATCTTTCAACAATGTCTGAGCTACTCTTCCTTTCCCTTACTAATACTGGCGAAATATTTATCAGAGTGACCCTGAAATTGATCTGCTTGAAGCCATTCCATATATCATCATCAGTCTTCCCCAACGAATGGAATCAGCAAGAGACAGATAGGGGCAGAGAGACTGAGAGACGGAGTCAGAGAGAAGTAGAGAAAAAGAGATTGATATATTTTAAGAATGGAGTTCATACTGTTTGGGGACTGCAAATCCAAAATTCAGGTGACAGTCTGGACAGTTTTGCGCACTAAGTTGGTAAGCCAGGAAGTGTACTGTAAGCTCAAGCAAGACATTTTTTAGCAGTGTTGAGGTGGAATTCTTATCCCTCAGGTAATTTCAGGGTTTGCTCTTAGTTTTTAAACTGATCGTGTGAGGCACACTAACCTTTTGGAGGGTAATTTGCTTTATTTAAGGCCAATCATTTAATTACTAATCACATGTGAATACCTGTATAGCAACATCTAGACAAGTGCTTGACTAAACAATGGGCACCAGAGCCCAGACAAGCTGGCACAGAACAGTAACCATCACATCCTACACAGGATTACCACAGTTTACTTTCTTTGTGAATCTTCTCTACAACCTTTAAGAGCTTCCCACCATCCATGGAAATATTTTCAGGAAAAAAATAACAGCAACAAAAGGCTTTTATTGAATAAAATGGCACTCCAACAAATAAACCAGATTAAATCTAGATCTCTTTCAGATGAAAGTGATTAAACTTCTTATTCTTGGGATTATTTTACACATTATCCCCTGGGTATTTCCATGGAATTTCGGAGTATTAGGTAATACAATTTGGAGCCCATTGACCTATACACAAAATCTTTATTTAGGATTAGGTCTGTATCCATTCAATCATTCTGTTTATAACCTCCACGTGTTTATGTAAATTCTTTGTGCTTTACATTATGTCATGCTTAGCACCAGGGAGACAATTAATTTCTTCCATGCTTCTTCATAAATTTTCATTCACATTTCCAAATGCAATACAAGCACTACCTATCTTAGTGACCATATGAATGAATGTTTAGGAAATGAAAGCACTACGTATCTTTTTTGTGTGTTGTATTTATTAAGGAATGAGTACTATTTCTTTTTATATTATTATTACTGCTGAGTTACATTGAATTACTGGGTAAACACATGTCTCTATTTTATATTGTGGCTAGATGCCCTGGAATCAGTTCCAATTGATATTGATTTTGTGCACAACGGAATGAAACACTGTCTTAAGTGTTTTGTTTTGTTTGAGCCCATTGTGGCAGTCAAGGTGACCATCCACCTCATGAAGCATCTTCCTCTTTTTCACTGTTATTCTGCTTTCCCAAGCATGAAGTCCTTTCCATAGTTCGGTCTTTCCCAATAATATATCCAAATATATGTATGATGTATATGTATATCCAATATGTGTATGATGGAGTCTCACTAGCTACACTTCCAAGGAGCATTAGGGGATACTTCCTTCAAGGCCACCTGGTTTGTTCTTCTGGAAATTTATGACACTATCAGCATTCTTTGCCAACACCATCATTTAAATGAATCAAGTCTTCTTTGGTCTTCTTTCATCATTGTCCAGCTTTCACTTGCCTGGGAGGCAATTGAAAAAAACCATGCATGGTAGGCTGCATTCTTTAGAGAAGCAAAAGCAGTGATGCTTATAGACACATAGAAAGAGAGAAATTTATCTGAAGAAAAATGGCTTACACAATTATAAAAGCAGGTAAGTACAGTCTGGTTCACATCTGTGGGTCAGGTGTTAAACTGGAGGCTTCTCCTGACCCCTGTCGCTTCAGGTGATGTTGGATCAGGAAGCAGGGAGATGAACCAGGAATCAAGAAGCACAATCAAAAGACCACAGGCTAGTAGATGCAGAGATGGGTGGATCCAAGGCCAGCAGGTCAGGCTTGCAGCTGAAAAATTTAGATGCTAGGCTGCTGATGGCCCCAGAGTCAGTAGGCATGATAGTCAACTGGTTGTTGGCTCAAGTCTAGAGAACCAGAATTTGATGTACCAGATGCAGGATATATGAACAGTACTTCCAAAAAATGGAAAAAAAGCTCTGTGGATGTGAGGGGGATAGTGCATTTGGAATTCATTCCACCCAGTCAGACTGTTAACCAAGCTTTCTATTTAGAAGTTCTGAAAAGATTGCATAACAGTATGTGACCCAAAAGGGTCTCATTTGTGGCATATGGGGGACTGGCTTTGCCACCAAGAAAATGCACCTCTCTTGTAGCCATCTCGGTGCTCCAGGTTTTGGCAAAAAAACAGCATGCCTGTCTTGCCCCATGCACCTTCCTCACCTGACCTCGCTGTGGTGCAACTTCTTTTTGTTTCTGCGAATCAAGAGGGACATGAAAGGACAGTGATTTGATGATGTAGGAGAGGTGGGAAAAATATCAGGGAGTGCTGTTAGCCATCCAAACCGCTGAGTTTGAAAAATGTTTCCAAGAATGGAATCGCAGATTTGGCAAATGTATTAAGTGTAATGGAGAGTACTTTGAAGGTAATAAGGTTGTTTTGTAAAAAACATTAAATACATAGGTTTGGAAAAAAAATCTGTTTTTTTGGGGGGGTGGGTACCCTCTTGTACACTTTGCAAGAAGCAAACAAGTTATCCACACATTCTTCTTACATAGGAAAGAGGCCATACCCCCCAGGAAACTTCCATCAGGGCTGTGACCTTAGTAGCAAGATTATATTTACCCTAATCCATTAACAATGGAGTGCTCACAGCAGACCCCATGACGCTGTCATTTACACTGTGTTAGTTCACACTGTAGAGAATTACTAGCCCTTAACTGCCAAATCACTGAGAATCCTGTCCCAGTCAAGTTAACATAATATCCAACTATCACACTATGGCTAGAGACAGGTGGACCTTAGCCATCAAAGTTATATCTTTGCTCTTTAACACTTTAAGGAAGTCTTGTGCTGTATCTTTTTGCCCAATGTTGCATGTGGTTTGTTTTTTTGACTGCTGTTTCTCTGAGCATTAATTGTGGATCCAAGCAAAATGGAATCTTTGACATTGTCAACATTTTCTCTGTCTATATTGATGCTGCCTTTTGGTCTAGTTATGAACAGTATTGTTTTCTTTGCATTGAGTTACAATCCCTACTGAAGGCTGCAGGCTTTGATTTTCATCAACAAATATTTCAAGTCTTGCTTGCTCAAAGCAAGGAGCAAGCAACGCTGTGTCATTTGCATATCCAGCTTTAATGCCTTGTTCCTCTTCATACAGCCTAGCTTCTCAGGTTATTTTTTTTAGCATAAACATTGAATAAGTATAGTTGAAGGATACAGCCCAGTTGCATACCTCCCTTGACCATGCAGTATTGCCTTTTTCTTTTTCAATGACTGCTTATAGGTTTGTGTGCTCTTTGCACATGAGCATAGGATGTGTTCAGGAATTCCTGTTCATCCAAATGTTATACATAGTTTGTCATGATTCACACAATCCAATGTATTTTCACAATTGCCAAAACCAGTAAACATCTTTCTGGTAAGCCTGATGTCAGCAATAATACTATTCATTCCAGCCCTCTTCTATTTTTTTTTTTTTTGCCCTCTTCTATTTTATACATCATTTCATTTCAAAGCCTTAAATGGAATCATTTTAAGCATTCAAATAGAATAGATACAAGATTGTTTGTTCCAAAGTTTATTCATTAAGAATAATTCATTAGGAAGCAGAAACATGTGACCAAAATCAATAGTTCTAAAGATAGTTTTATTTGTTTTTACTTTTGTTTTTCTTAGGACCTGCAACATACAATCCTACTTTAAAGAGATCTTGCTTCATACCAGCATTTGTTAAAACATCAAAGCGTTTTGAAGATTGCAAAGTGATTACTCCTGGGCCAGCAACCTATGAGGTTTGTCAATTATATTTTTTCCTTATAATTATACAATAATAGAATGATATCCAAAAAGGACTAAAAGTGCCTGTGTTAAAATCCTTTCCATAATTTTAATTCACCTCACTGACTAATCACAATCTTTTGGTTAAGGAAGGCACTTGAAGACAAATACTAGCACTTTTAGAATTATTTAGGAATAATTCCAATCAATAATTTATATGTAAATAACCTCTACAACATGGATGATTTCTCTAAATCACTGCTATAAACTTTACTAGTGAACACGCATAAATTTGAAATCTCCAAGTATCAATTGCAATTATGAATGCTTTCTCAGTCCTAGAAGAAAGTCTTGTGGATCAATTCAAATAAATTATTGATTTTTTATTTTTTGATAAGGCTTGAATGCTATAGTTTAGATGTATGATGAATAAAGATCTGTTTTAAGTTGTAGATCTTTTGATAGTAAGAATAAAGTAAATATATCTTCCGGATTTTAGAAAGTGTGTTCACAATAGGCCTCAGTGACCCTTTTGAGATTGAAGATAAAATAGGTACCTCATTCCCACCTACACTAATTATTGAAAATGAAATATTTTATAGAAGCCCTAGAATTAATTCAAGACAATTCTGAATGCAAGACAAGGTAAAGAATTGATTGAGATTGAACAAAGTTTATGACCTGTTAATTTTGAATTGGTGGCACAGGGCAGGGTCTTGAAGGAGTATTGGTCAGCAGTCTATTATTTTCAATGACTTAGGTAGCTTACCTCTTCATAGTCTTTCTCCCAGGAGCAAGTCGTTCTTGGAGTGGTCAGATGAGTTGTGTTCACCTGATCTCCAAATTGTTTGTGTATTTATGGGATACACATTTGAATGTTTATTTTTCCTCTGCAGTTTTTAGCCTTAAAAGGATTCAGAATTCATAAAGTAACTATTGAAAATGACAATTGCTAGTTACATTAAATCTTTAGCTGAAAACGTCTCTCCTTTTATTGAATTTAGTGTTATCTACAAATAATACATGCCAGTAGTTCTAATTTTATTAATTTTTTTATGAACTTTTTTCTTGGGCTTGGGGTAGGGAGTTGTGCATGTGTGCTTATAGTAGAAGAAGTATGCATAGAGTTTTAGGTTTATTAACACGAAGAATAGATTTGTGAATTCCAATGAAGGACTCCCAAACGTAGATTCTGAACTCCGGGAAGGCAGAGACTTGTTTAAATCTACATGATTAGGGTTTCAGTCAGAGGAACTAGAACACAGTAGTAAAACAATGAATGCTTTGAACAAATTTGAAACAGAAAATTCTATGGTTTTCTTCGTATAAACCACTAATCTTATCTGAAAATAATTACTCATTGACTTGAATAAATACATCAAATATCTCTAACCCTGAATACAGAAATTCAACAGAAGAAACTTCAAGATATAAAACTTTCTAATATCTGTCATTCAAACACAGCAGAACATTTTAAATATTTGTCTTAAAATGGATTCTGCAAAAAATGGATTGAATTTCAATAATACAAGTATATATAACTCCCCCAAAACAGATGTGATGTGAGGGGATAGTGCATTTGGAATTCATTCCGCCAGGTCAGAGTGTTAATCAGCTTTCCATTTAGAGGTTCTGAAAAGATCGTGTAACGTGTATGACAAAAATGGCCTGATTTGTGGAATATGGGGGACCAATTTTGCCACTACAACTACGCACCTCCTCACGCAGCCATCTCAGTGCTCCAGTTTTTGGCAAAAAAACCCAGCATGCCTCTCTCTCCTGCCCCACACTCCGTGCTACTTCTTTTCATTTCCACAAAGGCAGAGGGACGTGAAAGGACAGCAATTTGATGATGTAGAAGAGGTGAAGAAAAAAACGAGGGAGGTGCTGTCAGCCTTTCAAACAGTTGAGTTTGAAAAATGTTTCCAAGAATGGAATCATACCTTTGACAAATGTATTGTGTAATGAAGAGTACTTTGAAGGTTATAAGATTATTTTGTAAAACAATTTAAATACATAGCTTTGGGGGGAAAATCATTCTTTTGGTTACCCCCTAGTATATATTTAACTCTAGCTTGTCATATAGAAAATACGTTAGATCAAATATTGATCAGCGGTAATTCCAGATGTTTATTTTTTATATTTTATGTAGAAGTAGTAGAATTGATTTGAGTAATAAAAATTAGATAAAATATTAGCAAACACAAAATAATAATATAAAGAGAACTAAACACACATATGCTTGGTTTTTAACTTGTTTTTGTATCTACCTTTTAAAATTGAGATTATTAGGATTTATTACTGTAGATTATTAATCTTTGACTAATGACAGATATATTTGTTTTAAAATTAATTTGATTATGATATTATAAACCAGGAATTGGTATGTGCACATATGGCTGTATTCATAAATATTATTCATAATATTATTCAAAATAGTATTCATAAATCCTGTGGAATTATTTACTTTATTAGTTTGAAATCCTCTTCATGAAAATTTTTCTTTATAGGTTTGAGTTCACACTACATTGTTAAACTTAACATTTTCTTTTCTCTGGACACCTAGACAAGGAACAACAACAAAAATCTTCAGTGCAGTCCATTTAAGTTTTAGTGCAGTTTAAGTGAAATTGTAATGACTATTTGTACTGTAGAATTGTAATACATATTAATATTACAGAAATTATTAAATATATTTTTCTTTTTTTTTAAATATATTTTTCTATAAAATATATTCCACGGAAATTAAATGATAGTTAGTTTGAGCATTTAAAAAAATCACTTAAATTGTTGCAGTGAAGTGAAGTTACTTGGTATGTGAAGGAAGGAGTTGGAGAACCTATCTCCAAACCCGTCCAAGGCCAATTTCCACAAGGCAGAGATCAGACCAGTCTTCACCCTCTCTCCTTTCTTTACCCTATTCTCACAGCAACTCCCCCAGCCCCCCATCACTCTGCTTTACTGCTATGTTCTATAATCCATTGCAACAGCCACACAGAACTCACTGACAATTAGTGAAGCTAGTAGGTTCCCCCAAGTTAGGATCAGAAAACATTAAGCATTCAGTCTTTGGTCCACAGCAGTGGCTCTCCATCAACAGATGGATATTCAGAGATCATGAGATTGTGCAATGGAGCATCAATTGGGCTTCCTGGCTCACTGAGGCTGAGGCCATGAGACCCCATGAATTGTAAAATTGATCTATTCCTAAATTAGAGCTCTTTATGCCCTATTTGTATGGTCCCACCCAATCATTCAGTGGAAATTATAGAGAAATGGATAGAAGAGACATAATAACTCATTTCTCTTCATCACATAATCTTTGCACACACACCCCAAATGACTGGGTGTGATCATGCAAACAAGAGGAAGAGGATTGGTTAGTGTAGTTTTGCCATTCTGCTTCACATAAAAGGAAGCCATCTCAGAAGCAAGTGGAGGGGCAGCGAAAAAGAGGAAAGCACTCAGGGAGATGGCTTGACACAGTGGCTGCAACAATGGGCTCAAGCATAGGAACAACTGTGAAGATGGTGTCGGACCTGGCAGTCTTTGGTACTGCTGTGCATAGGGTTGCTGTGGGTCAGAACCGAGTCAATAGCACCTAACTACAACAGCATCTCAAAAGCAAGAGCAGAGGGATCCGATGACCAACAAAGAAGAGCCACTCGCAGAGAGTGTGTGAGAACCTTGCCTGAAGTGGTGGATGTAGCAGAGGCACCTGAAGCAGCAACAGATGGAGATCATGTGACAGAGCAGAGAAGCAACCATGTGATAATCAGTATGCATCTCAATTTGCAGGATAAATAAATCTGAACGTCTTCAGGCAGGATGTTGGCTAGCAGAGTGGGGAGCTCCTTGGGCATTTATAAATATCAAATGGGCTTTGTAGCACTTTCCTGAGAAGAGCAGAAGGTTGGTGACCAGAGAAAGTTGGGGCTGACATGGTGGAGAAAAGGTACTGCTGGGGACTAAAGGACTATATCCTTGATGATTTCTGAATCTGATTTGGAGTAACCTGCTCACTTCCCTAATTACCTCCTCTCCCATAATTGTGATTATTGTCTGTGAGTTCTGTATGGTCATTGAAAGAGACTGTAAAACTCAGCAATAAAGTAGAGTGTCATGGGAGGAATAACTGGTGTCAGAATAGGGTAAGAGAAATTGGAGGGTAGCGGCAAGACTGATGTCTGCTTCATAGGAATCATCCTCGTGCAGGTGTGGAGTTAGATTCTCCTTTTTCCTTTGTGTAGCCAGTGGGGTCAGATGCAGCCTCAGCCCCATTTCCTTAGTTATTAACAGATTGTCCTGGGAAATTATAAATATGAAATTCCTTTCAAACTTCAGAATGAAATAATTTTGTGTACTAGAAAAGGGATAATACATCAACTTATTTGTAATATAATTTTAATTTCACAAGAAATTATATAAAACCACTTTCTACTGACATTTATGTATTAGACAATGTAATTTTAAATGTTAGCTAGATATTTTAATGATGGAGCATAAGAACATATATTTAACAATTTTTCTATTGTTTCCTTTTCTTCTTAAACTATTGTAAATACTACTTTAATACTTGTTTCATAGCTGATATTTGTCCCCATCTTTGATTATGCCATAAGGAAAAAATGATAGAATTACTTGTAAAGAGATATTGGATTTTAAAATATTTTTAAAATCCCAAATTGTCCTTTTTTAAAAAAGATTAAACTTTATATTTTAGAGAAGTTTGAGGCTAAAAAAAACAGAGTTTGGATATTTTAAGACATTTAGGGAAAATTTTTATTTTGTTCTCCAGAAATTGTTTACACCAAAGTAATGGTTTGAAACTTTCGCATTCCTTTAAAGATTATTGCTGTATTTTGATTTTTTAATTTGCTGTGCATATTCACCCACTCATTCAGTCGCTCAGCCACCCACTTTCTCACTCACTGCCATTGAGTCAACTCCAGTTCCTAGCGGCCACTATGAATAATATTGTAATTATTAGGTGCTCTCAAGTCCCTTATAACTC